AAAATAATTGAAACGTTGTTGCTCAACAATGACCAGTCGCTTTGATGTCTTTCATCAAAGCGATGAAAGACATCAATAATTACCATGGGAACCAGGTAGTGTGCCACAGTACTGACACCGCCCTCAGCAAAGCGTCCAATCGTATCCATGTCAACCCAGCACGTAGAAGAACCACAGTACTGGTTCTGATGGACCTGAACGCATCACTCCACACCATGTCACATTATGAGAGAGTTGGGTCGGACTCTCCAGAACCATCTTCCACTGGTTTTACCTAAAGAACCTGAACGTCTATGTGTCAACAGGAAAGTGGACCGACATCACATATGGGATACCGCAAGGCTCAAACCTGGGGTCCCTCCCGTTTAACATCTACATGCTTCCACTGACTCAGATTGGTTACCGTATCTCTACATTACAATGTCATCAGTTGCCTCTGAGAACCAATCAGATGTTAAATTGGTGTCAAAACTTTCTCCAGCTAAACAGAAACAAAACAGAAATTATGTTTGGATAATAAAGAGGAGCGATCTGGAGTCTCAACAGCTTCAGTTGCTACAGCTGGAAACCAGAGATCAGAGCTGAACCTTCAGAGCAACATAAAGACAGTTACAAAGCTAGCCTTCTATCACCTGAAGGACTTTTTTTTAGAATGAAAGGACTAATGTCCCAGTAAGATCCAGATGAAATCATTTGTGTTTAACTTTAGTTGAATCAATGAAACTCAGAACCAAAGATGGAGAATTAGTTTTGAAGTTCCTCTAATGTGGGACAAACTTCCAGAAAACTGAAAAACAGCAGAAAAACTCAGTTAAATCTAGATTAACAGTTACATTTAATGAACAATAACACTGTTATAATGCAACGCAATGTTTCTGTTTTGTTTGTTGTAATGTCAAAGATGTTTGAATTGCCGTATTGCTGAAATGTGCAATACAAATATACTTGAGTTGAGTTGATTGTTGTTGCAGAAACAGGTCTGGACTGAATCCTTCATCACGAGAGAAACATCACAATAGGATGATTCACTGCGGGTTGGGGAAACAACAACAGGACAACTCTCCACCAGTGACTTTTCACCTCTTACGCTCAACATGATTTCGCAGAATCAGATCTGCGTTGCAGAGATTTCCTTATCTGTCTGTGGAAAGACAAGGAAAACACCAAAGTGTGGAGAAAACAACTGGTGTCACTGCTGAAGTTGACTCGTGACATCAAGTTTTCACTTTAACACCACCAGCAGTTTCTGTTAGTTGTTACAACAGGCATCAATTTAGGAATGTTAATTTTACAAGAAACAATGTAGGAAAGTAGTAAAATATTGACATCGCCATGTTATTTATGATTTCTGGGTAGATGACATGCTAGGTGTGGAAGTGCTAACTCCGTCCTGCCAATGAGTGACACTGTTAAGCCTTTTCAATTGGAACCGAAGCGTTGAAATTGATGGGAAATCACAACGAGTGATTCGAGAGGATGAGGATGGAGGAAGAAGCTGCTGGTGGGACTGATTCACATGCATCACAGGTTTGGGCCGCTGTGATCAGAAATCTGTTTGTGGTACCAGGTTCAAAGTTTCATCACGAAAGCCTTTCGCTTCAGTTGCAGACTCAACGTTTCTGTCGGTTATTTGAAGGTTTGTAGGGCCGACGCTGCAAAAACACTAAATATTACAGAGCATTTTTGGTCTAGTTTCTGGTACAAATGTTTTACTACACTCTATATTAAAGAAAATTTACCAATAAAAAACATTTCACCAAGATATAGGAGCTTGTTTTAACTCAATACTTCCTCAAAATTGGTAAAAATAAAAAAACTACCAGTTCCTTTGGCAGATTACTTCACTTCTATAGGAAAATATCTTGTTAAAAGTGAAATAATCTGCCAATGGAACAGAAACTTTTTCATCAATAATAATGAATTATTGACTTAAAACAAGCTCCTACATCTGGCTAAAAAGTTACCTGTAAGTTAGTTTTATTTCATGTCTACTACGATCTTTGCACTAGAAACTGGACCAATAATTCTTGTTTCTTGCAGTGAATGCGGTTCCTGCAGGTCTCTCCCTGCCTGGTCCAAAGGTCACTGCTGGTCTTATGCATGGAAAATAATAATAATATCCCCACGTAGAAAGTACTTTTTCACTAATATTAATTATCTACTTGAAACAAGCTTTTCTATCTTGCTGATAAGTTGCTTTTAAATTACTTTTAAAATTCAGGATTCCTAAGATATCTGCACTAGAAACTAGACCAAATACTTGGTAAGATTGTGTGTTTTTGCAGCTTTTCTTTGTCCAACATGTCGGATTAGGTATCGGTTTGGAGGGTGTGACGGCACATGCTTCATCAAATCAAGCAGAGATTCACCAACAATGGGAGCAATGTCGCCTCGATATGCATGATCAAACTCTGCTTACAGAACTAATCGATGAAAAATCAAGCAGAGCGGCTGTTTCTCAGCTCCCCATCTGCAGGGCAGCTCGTCATATTTCTCTGTCACTTAGACAGTGGATACCCCAGATCACACCCCATGAATGAGAGCATGCTTGTGCTTCACAATGGAGCTGGAGCTGCACCCTGAGGAGGGGGAAGGGCAATGCATTCCTCCACTGACCTCCTGTTTGCAGCAGATATTTAACAATAACTGCTCCTCTTTGTGTGCTTTCACCGGCCACTGATGAGGAAGGTGAGGCTTCCCAGACAATGTGTGAAGGAGAAGCTGATGCGTTTTGTTCCACAGAGGTGATGAAGTGATGAACACCTGTCATCTGAAGAGATGCAGGAGGGAAAATGTGATTGTTGGTCCCGAGAGATTCCCTGGAGACGCTGAAGCCGACTGAACGGTTCTAATCTGTGTGGCTCGGTCCGAGTCACCTTCAGGGAAAACGCTGCATCAGCTGGCCGCAAAATTAGTTTCCTGAAGAAAGTCTCAGATTGGTTTAATGCAAATATCAGTAGGAAGACGGGTTACAGCAACTTGGAAGAGTATTCCTACCCATTCAGGTTGCCACACATTTAGATTTTATATGAAATAATTTACTATGTCTCTTTGCAATCTAGCTCAAGTGCAGTCAGGTTGGATGGAGAGTCTCTCAGAATCGTTTTTTTTCACGTCTAGAGTCTGAATATTGACTGGGCCATTCTAAGCATTGACCTAAGCCAAGTTTGTTCAGCTCCAGTCCTTAACGCTTTGTGTCCCACCGTGTTTAGATTTGATCCGATAGACGTCAATAAAACGCTTCAACTACAACATCAGAGCTGCTGATTCAGTCCTGTTGGAGCTGAGGCGTATCTAATGTTACTTTCAGCTCTAAGTCGGTTCGATTGGGGAACAAAGTTGCAACATTTGTTCCATTTTCAGTGCTGTGGTTCACTTTCTCACTGCTCTGAGTCAAACCAGTCAAATCATTTGAAAAAACTGTAGCCCTCCTCGCCTGAGGGGGCGCTGCAACATGAACTACTGAAAAAAAGACACAGAGCGCCACTTCCTTCTTCAGAAAATGTAAACAAAAATGGAGTTTATTGGTTGTAGGATTTTTTTGATTTTCTCCTGCTAGCGCTATGCTAACACATTTGTTCTGCTTGCATTTTCCCAGAATGCCCTGCGTTATAATCCATTTCCTGCTTCTGGAGTTCACTTCAACCGAACCCAGACCGAGGTCTGTAGGCAGAACAAAGTTTGCTCTTTCAGAAAGAATCAGTTTGATTAAATGTTCACACCTCCAAAAACAAATCTGACTGCAGCTGCTCTTCCTGGACCATCATTAACGCACACATACAGTGGAAGTCATTCAAACAAATCACAAAGGACAGATTTAACATGCATAGCAAAAAACTATTATAGATAAATTCAATTTCGCTTCTGACTTCTGTTTTACCTGAGGAACTTTGAAATGATTTGAATGCATGGCGTTTTTACAGGCAGCTCAGCGCTAAGCAAACAGCCTCAGGCAAACAAACTGGAGTTTGACTCAAACAGAGCAGATTTGGTGTGAATAGCATGTAAAAGTTGCACAGCGCCGTTTCCAAAGGGTTGGAAGATGGATAAAGTTTAAAAGTTGACGAAAGCCAGAGGAGAGCAGAGAATCCAAAAGTTATAATCAGGACCCCAGAAGAACGACTTCAACATATCTTTACTCAAGTAAAACAGTATTTGGTAAAACATCCACTGAAGTAATGATCAAGTTATCAATCATTTAATATTTAACAATGAGACGGAACAAATTATAAAGAGGGAATTCTTCTACAGACCATGAGGATAATAATTTACATAACAAAAATAACAATCAGCCAATAGAAAATGTTTCCAAGTCAGTTTTTTTTCAATAAAAAAAACATATGAAACTTTAACAGAAAAGCTGTGTGTGTATCTGTGTCTATGGTTAAAACATGTTTGTTTTTCATTCAGTGGGTAGAAAATCCAGAAATTTCACTGAAATAACAGTAGCAAAACTTAATCATAAATACAGTGTAGAAAAAAGACTCCTAAAAATGAAAACAAAGTTACTCAGCCTATTTGAGTAAATGTTACTATGCAACTCCATCAAATATGAAGCAGTGAAGATATTTCAGAAAGTCTTATAAAGATAAACCACAAAGAAAATGGTGCCCAGAACTGAACCCTGAGGAACTCCATGGCTGATGGAAACAGCCAGAAATGCATGACGTGCAGACAGACTCGTGCAGAGACTCTCAGGAAACCATTTGTTCCTTCTGCTGTGACACAAGTTTGGAGATTTAGCAACGACTTCCGAATATTGTTGTGAGCAGGAAGAGGGTCAGACTTTACAGTGGGCTCCTCTTTACAGCCCAGAACAAAGAGTTAAAGACCTGACCTGACTGCAGCTTCTCATCACGACCTGCACAAATAACAAGAATAAATCAGTTTGTGCGCCAAGCATGATGCAATCTAATCTGAAAAAAAAAAAAAAAAAAAAAAAAAAAAAAAAAAAAAAAAACCGAGAGAGAAATCAGTGCGATGAGTTTTGTAAGGAGTGAGGATAATGGGCGGTCCAGGAAAAGCTGCAGACTCCTGGCTGCGCAGGCGAGGGGGTGGGGAGCCGAAACTGGGAGGAGAAAACGGGGATTTGGGATTCTTTGTCCTCGCCCAGTTCGCGCAGCACCACTGGAGAAGCAGCTGTCTCCTCGAAGCAAAGGAAGGAGAAAAAAGGCAACTTGAAGGGCTTAAAATCCAGAAAACCAACTGAAGACAACTTCCAGGACCCAGAAGACATTGTGAAGGTAAAAGAAAAGCCAGAAAGGCGGGGAGGCATCCTCACCGGTGCGCTCTTTATCTGCAACACGCCGCTCTGGCTTCACTCTGAATCTCGCTGCTTCACAATCTGCTCATGAAACTGGCTTTGAAAACTAGATATGCTGGGAAAGTGAATCAAATGTGTTAAAACCAGTTTGAGTTGAAGCGCACAAACTGGTGGGATGTAGCTCCAGTTAGAGGCTGGAAACCAGTCGGATTACCTGGGATTACCTGCGAATTGGGGAGAAAATGGCTTTGATTCAATCAACGGGTTGAGTATTTAACATAAAAAGCCAGTTTAGGTTTTTATTGATCCAGTGAAATCTGCAAGGCTCCTCTTGTGTTTTTCTGTCTTGTTAAAATCTCTTGATCCTCAGATTTGCTGTGATTTTGCTCTAACTGGTGGTTAAAATGATCCAGTTGGTCTCAGATTGGTGACCCGGTTCCAGTTCGGGTCCTGAGAGGTTCCGCCGTGACGTCGTTTGCCACGAGGAGGATCCCCCCCCCCTCCTCCTCTTTCCCGCATTCCCCGCAAATGGGATTAGTTTCCAGTTCACGTCGCGCTGCTTCATGATGACATTCTTGGCTTCATGAAACCCAAACATGCGTCAGTTTCCTGGTTTCTCCAGGAGCGAGCACATTCCTCCGAAACTTCATTTTTTTTTATGTAATTCCATTTTTTCTCCTCGAGCCTTTTCCCTTCCCCCCTTTAGGCTGAAGGGCTGGGATAAATCAACTTTAACCCTTCTCCCAGATGTTGGGGCCACAAAAGCGCCTCTGTTCTGCAGAACCGCGACGCTTGAAAATGGTCAAAAATCCCTTTAATCCCGCAGCAGCGCTGAGATTCACACACTACAGATGAGACAAGATGTTAACGGAGAAAACGGAGAAATCCTGCAGAAATTGATTCCACAGGAAATCAGCGCCTGATTCACACAAATGAACTAAAACTCCAAGTTTGGTCTCCAGGTTCAATAATAAGAATGAACTTTGAGGAATGAAAAAGTGAGTTAAATAAAAACAGAGGCCGTAAAAAATGTACCGAGTTGTGGTTTGGATCAGACTGCAGGCTCTGATCTGATCTGGCAGTGACTTACAGATATAAAAAGTTCTGAGATTTATGATGGCAAAGCTTTTTATTTTCTTTATTTAACTGCGTTCTGCAGTGAACAGGTAGCCAAGGTGAAAAGATCAATGAGAGCAACATGGGAATGCCAAGAGGAGCAGCTGGACAAGATTTTATTGAATGGGATGAAAACAGAAGATAATTTAAAAAATATATATATATATAGCCTACATATAAACCTTTCTACAATCGTTGCTGCCAAAAATAGATATTTTATTTTGATTTCAATACGTTTTTTTTTTAAACTTAGGCAGTAATGTTCTGCACATTTAAAACATTTGAAAAGTGGGCCTTTAATAAAAATTACAAAACAACTAAAAGGAACCTGCTGGATCTGGTTTCCTGGTGCATCCAGTCGTAAAGCAGAGCCAGATGTTTCCATACTTCCCTTTCTCTCTCTGATCTTACAACAGAAGCTGTAGTGTACGTTTTATTTTATGCTTTTTGTAAAATACTAAACAGATGAAGGAACCTGCAGCCAAGAACAAAGATTAGAGGGGAAATAAAACGTCTCTAGGTAGCTTTTCTGGCTGCTTTGCAGCCATTTAATGCCGACGCTGCTTCTGGTTCCACCAAATACTCCAGGAATTTTGATAATTTCTAAGAAAAAATGTTTGTCAGAATAAAAACCGCTCTGCCCACTGAGCCACTAGATTCATTTATTAAGACACAGAAATGCACCAGTTATTAGAAATGCCACAAACATGACTACATTTAATTTAGTTGGAAAACCTTTTAATTTGAGTTAAAATATTCACTTAAGAAATGGCTAAAAATAAACTAGAACTTATTTTTAAACGCAATAGTTTTTAAAAAGTAGACAAAAGTTTTGAAAAACATTTGTTTTGATCAGTTTGTTACTTTTCACTTGTTTTCATGCACTTAATAAAAATAAAAAAAAACAATATTCTACTTGTCTCCCTCTGCAGGGAAAGTAAGATGTCTGCCATTTTGGATGTTGCAGATAAAGTGAGTGGGGTTATCAATAATCAAACACATTAATCAGTGGGTCGTCACACAATCAGCCCAGCTGGCTTAACAAGATTTAGCTTCATTTAACTAAAACTAGCCTCATTTTAAAGTAGCTTAACTAGCTAAACTAATACACAACTCTATTTTTACAACTGTTACATTAACTTTATTCAACTTATCTACTTAAAATCTCAAATATTGAACCATTGTTGACAACAGATTGTAAAAAACTGTTTAATTACCATCTAGTGACAGAAATAGCTATAATAGCAAACATTTACATGTAAATATGAATTCATAATGTTCCTGTTAAGGCCACTCTTGCAGAATAACCAGTTTTCAAAAATCAAAACCTGCCAGCGTCACATCAAGAAGGTTTTCAACTCACCCAAAACAAAAAGCACCTGTGGAGAGTTTTCTAGTTTCAAAGGTGTGTTTTCTTTACTTAGAAAAATAGAAATATTCTCCAAGTCGACTTACAAAAAAATTGAAATATAAACGTAAACTGGTGCGGTAGAAAAACTGTTTCACTCCTTCACCAAACCATCAGATCCACCAGAGCAGATGGTGCTGCTTGTTAATCACAGCAGGAGGTCAGCTGACAAGGAGGGTCTCAATCAATCAAACAATCAATCAATAAACAACAATAGATCTACTATTCACATAACCTTAGATCTGTAACATTAATAACTTAGCAAAAATAAATTAGTCTAATTCTTAACAAAAACCAAGCAAAATAAATTATAATTAGTGGTTGCGAAACAACAAAAGAAGCATTTCTGGTGTCTGCTGACATGAACTGTGGACAAAATGCTAACAAACAAACCAAACGATACGGCAGACAGAGTTTACGGATAACCGGTAACGCAGGGTGTAACGGTCTGCAAACGGTCGTAAACGAGCACAGCGACCCAAGTGACTCACGGTTACAGTGAAGTTTTCTAAAGCAACAGTTGCAATCAGCAGGTTGTGATGCATTGTTCAGCAGGCTTGTCGATTCGCACGGCAGATCAACAGGTCTGGAGGGATTTTCTTTCCTTTGTACTTCTTGGAAATGAGTTCATAAAGAATTGCTCATTATTCACTAAGTTAACAGACTCTTGAACTGGTCTACATCAAGCCCAACTGGATTCTTTCTTTTCTGTTCAAGACTTGCTGATTCAGGCGACCATATTTGGACTTCCTGTGGAGAACAGTTTTGTTGGCGTTATTGATGCAAGATATGGTTCTAAAATGTAGCGTTGACTCGTGATCCATTTGTGGAACAACTGCATCTGCAATTTTGACAAACAGTTGCATAAAAATATAACATAATTTAACGGGTTTACTTATTTAACGTTTATGCGTCTGTATGTATTTAGGTTTTTAAATCAAATTTAGTAAACGGTATGTAAGACAACATGAAAACAGCTTTGATTTGCTAAATGTAATAAAAATGTTGATCACTTTTAAATACTTTAAATGCCAGAATTGGTGGAAAACAACCAAATCATGACAACTCAAAATATTTCTAAGTGTTCAGAAATATCAAACTAATTTAAAAATAAGAAGCGGGAATAAGCTGAACTGAGTGTGAATGCAGAAAGATCAGATTTCCAGACACCTGAAGGAATTTGGTTTCCAAGTATTTAACCTTCACTAAACGCCTTAAGGCTTTTTCAGCTGCAGTATCTGTTCTTAAAGGGATAGTCCGTTCTTATAGGAGGTCTTATAGGAGGTTGTGTAACTCTACAAACTGCTGGAAAAAACAAGCTAGTCAGGTGTACAAAGTAATTTAGTCCTAATCAAACTGTAATTGGTCACATCAGCGGGACAGAACGCCGTGTTTTGCGGTTTAGAAGTCTATAATTTACTAGTTTCTACGAAGTTTAGTGCCGTTTCTCCATCTTAATGTCTTCACAGCCAATCAGCTGGCTGGCAAAATCAGCTCTTGTAGATTAAGACGAGACAAATGTAATAAACCGTGTTTTACTCAAACGGTTAATTACATTACAAAGCTTTTTTATTAAGTGAGATCAAGACTCTGCAGACATTGATGTTTGTTAGATGCTGTGAAACCACAACAGCATATTAGTCATTGTGAGACCCTATTAAACTTCAATCAGCAGCATCTGTGTGTGTGTCTTGAAGAACTAACTGTTTAGTAAGACACTAGAAAATACAACAACTCCGTCAGAGTTTGTGTATCAACAACAATAAAACTTCTGGATATTCTGGGAAACTACAGTTTTGACGTTTTGTGACTGCGGGGGTTATGGTCGGTTGGTTTTTAGGCTTTTTCTGGGAGCTTTGCCCCAGCATGTTAGACTCATTGATGCAGGTGAGGAGGGAGATGCGTTTGCTTGTGATTTTGCGCCACACTGTGGCCGTTTGTTTAAATGCAGGCAACATCTGGGTTGAAATTCAGGTGAGGATATCCGAGTTTCACAAGTTGACTATTTCAAACTGAGAATTTTCAAAAGTGGAACTCTTTTTTTCAAACTTTTGACATTAATTAAAACATTTTTCCTAGAAAAATTTTAACCTTTCAAACTCAGTTCCCTGTTTTTTCTTAGATTCATCTCAAAATTGTAGTTTTTCTAGCAAATTTTCATCCTCTTCAACTCTGAAGTTTCATTTTCTCTAGAAATATTTTGATTAATCTAAAACATTATTTTTCTGCCAAAGTTTTCAAACTTAGAAATTTTCTTAATTTTTTTTTAAAAAACTTTCTGCGATTAATTCTAAATTTTTACTTTTTCTAACAATTATTTTTGACTTTTCAGACTCAATATTTTTTTGTAGAAAATTTTTCTGATTAATATAATTTTTTGATGGAAATGTACATTTTTCGCTCTGCAGTGGTCATATAGTAGGTTGGTGACATGAACTTAAACTTTTATCACAATAGTTTAGAGTATCATTGTGATAACAATCAAAGTAATAAAAACTATTTATTTCTACTTTCTAGGGTAACTGACTGGCAGAGCAACACAAATACTGCTCTAAAAAACTGTAATACACTTCTTTTGGAGAAAAGCCACCTAAGGAAATGGGTTTTGTCCCTAAACTACTCACACTAATTCCATTTAATCATATTTTTCAAATGTATTGATGCTCTTAATGAAAAAAGAGAAAGTAAAATGAACAATTCCAACTATACATACAGTTTTGGTTGATTAAAAACACTAATTGAAATTTATTGTGACAATAAATCAAAATTCTAAGAAATTTTCATAAGTGATATAATAAATATTTCAGAGAGTTGTAGAGCTTTTTCTTGTAATTGTTTTTTCAGGGCATGTTCTTATGGACATTTTCCTCTTTTCCTCTCCACAGGATTCATAACTTCCTCCATCCGGCAGCAAAATGAGCTGGAGCTTTCTCACTCGTCTGCTGGATGAGATTTCTAATCACTCAACCTTCGTGGGCAAAATCTGGCTCACCTTCCTCATCGTCTTCCGGATCGTGCTGACGGCGGTCGGTGGCGAGTCGATCTACTATGATGAACAGAGTAAATTTGTGTGCAACACACAGCAACCCGGTTGTGAGAACGTTTGCTACGACGCGTTTGCTCCTCTTTCGCACATTCGCTTCTGGGTGTTTCAGGTGATCATGATCACCACGCCCACCATCTTGTACCTTGGGTTTGCCATGCACAAGATCGCCCGCATGGACGACGACGAATACAGGCCACAGGGCAGAAAGAAGATGCCGATAGTGAGTCGGGGCGCCAACAGGGATTATGAAGAGGCGGAGGATAACGGGGAGGAAGACCCCATGATCCTCGAGGAGATTGAGCCGGACAAAGAGAAGGAAGTTGCAGAGAAGCCGAAAAAGAAGCACGACGGCCGACGTCGCATAAAGAGAGACGGACTGATGAAGGTCTATGTCTTCCAGCTACTGTCCCGTGCCGTCTTTGAGGGGGCGTTTTTGTTTGGGCAGTATGTCCTTTACGGGTTGGAGGTGGCGCCATCCTACGTCTGCACGCGCTCTCCTTGCCCGCACACGGTGGATTGCTTCATTTCTCGCCCCACTGAGAAAACCATCTTCTTGCTCATCATGTACGGTGTCAGCGCGTTGTGCCTCTTCTTCACCATGCTGGAGATCTTTCATCTTGGCGTCAGCGGGATTCGGGACTGCTTTTGCCGGCCGCGGCCTCGCTCTCGAGCCCCTCGCCCCCCGCCACCTGCCAGCCAGAGGTCTTCGATCTGCCGCCAACCCTCTGCCCCTCCAGGGTACCACACCGCTCTGAAGAAGGACCCCAACGGAAAGATGGGCTTCAGGGATAACTTCGGAGACTCGGGTCGCGAATCCTTTGGTGATGAAGCATCGTCTCGGGAGCTGGAGAGGCTGCGCCGACACCTGAAACTCGCTCAGCAGCACCTGGATTTGGCATACCAAAACGAGGAGAACAGCCCGCCCCGCAGCAGCAGCCCAGAGTCCAACGGCATTGCAGTGGAGCAGAACAGACTAAACTTTGCCCAGGAGAAGCAAAGCAGCACCTGTGAGAAAGGTAAGTCATTTCCTCTTCTCTCACTTTCATAAATCGTGGCTTTTATCCAAGGAAACTGACCAACAGATGTCTTCACAGGTCTGCGTGCGTAAACTCAAACGATGAGAACAAAAAGGGAAGTGATGGACTTGCTTGAGGTGGATGAAGACCCCAAGCCCTCCAGTGTTACATCCCACTGTGCAGAACTCCACGTGGCAGACCCAAAGTGCTTATCAACTGCCGTCATGCAACAGAAGTGGTAAAGGTTGACATGTACATCTCCCTCAGGGCAGCTAACTGTTAGATACTATATGGATATTTTATTAAGAAACTTGGAGCTTCTTGTCATTTCTATCTTTTTATTATTATTATTATTGTTTTGGTCGGTGTGTAAATCTCAAGTTTGCCTTTAGACTTGAACTGGAATTTTGTTGCGGAAAGGCCCAGCCAGTCGTTTTGTAACGTGTGTACCTAGTGAGAGTGATTGTAGAAGAGAGCAAAAGGTTGAACAGGGCGCCTCAAATCAAACACCAGTACTGGGAGTTATGATCTTATGAAGACTGTACAAGATGTTGATCATCACACAACAAGGGCTCCTCTCAAGTGTCTTTTATTAAATGTTAGTGTTGGTCCGGAACTGGTCAACACTTCCAATCCTGGAACCTGTGGCCTGTACTGCGCAGCTGTAGTTCTGTTTCTTCACAGATTTCAGGACTCAATCCATTTCCAAAATCAAAGTGAAACCTCTGAGCAAATGATCAAACTCCTTAAGGCTTTGGTGTTATGCTTTATAGAGAAGATTATGTGGATTTCTGTGCTGTCCAGAATTGGTCTTCAGTATTAATCCTGTCTTCCTTGCATCCTTTGATACTTTCCCTTGTCTTTGCAGGCTTTCAATCAGTCCCTTCTTGTTTTGGTTGAATTTACGGTAAATGGTTTCACAGTGGATAGAACTAACTACACAGGCTGCATGAAAAGGGAGGGAAACTAGGAAACAATAACGGAAGGACAAAATGTAGTAAAACCACAAAGGACAAGAATGATGCAAGGAACGATTGACAGAAGCAAGAACTGATGAGCAGATGGCAATCATAAAGGAAAGTAGTAACATAACAGGAAAGGACAAGAGGAAGCAAGGAAGACTGGATGGGAGACAATCTAGGGGAATACTGAAGACCAATTCAAGCTGGGATAGGAATACCAAGAATCTAATCTACTTAGATGTTTGGGATTCCTGAGCTATCTGGAATTGGTCTTCAGTATTTCAATATTCTGAAATAATGAATATTTTCCATCATCTCTTCCTTGTATCATTCCTGTTCTTTCCTGGGCTGTTACTACTTTATCTCATCATTGCCATCTATCCATGGGTTTCATCTTTCTGTTCTTGCACCCTTTGATTGTTGAATCTTTGCTCATTCTTGTGCTCTGGAAATCGTCAAGGTTCCGGCGGCATACGGTGAGCTCTCGCTGGTCCTTGAAAATCTGGTGTAAATCTCATGCCACGCCATACCCGTATCCGCAGCAGGTCTCCAAGGTGAACAGCCTCTAGCATGTTGGATCAAGGGGGTTAAGGGAAGTGAGGAAGTCAGATCTGTTGGTTAGTTTTATCCTTTGTTGAACCATTTGCCGTCAATTCAGTGAACTTCAGTTCAACAATCCTCTTAGTAGTTTACAATGAAGTTTTTCTGTGTGCTCTCTCAGCGTGGAGCTGTTTCTGTTTTGCTGCTCTGTATGTTCTCAGTCAAACTGAAGGAATCTTGAAGCGATGAACCTTCTTCGCAGTACAGGCCTCTTTTATAGGTAACTGGAACACTTGAGGTGCCTTTGTCCAAAGGAACAAACAAACCTGGGTAATGCTTGAAATAAAAGAACCGTGTAACTCTTGATATTGCCATGTATTGTTTTGAAATGTTTGATACTGTTCTTTATTTTTGTATTCTGAGTATTGTTGTTAAACGTTCACTACTGTCTCTGCTTTCCGTGGCTGAAAGTGAACTTGTTCGGTACAGTTTGAAAGATAAAGTGCAGCAGTTTTTTGTTTTTCTTTTGATTTCTGTTTGGATCAACCTGTTGCTTCTTTTCTTCGGTACATGATTTTTGTGACCATGAAATGTTTACTTCTGCCGCACCTGCCTGTTCAGTTGTCTGTTAGTTTAATAATAGAAGAAGCTGTGTGCCACTTCACCATCTGCTAAATGCTAGTCTTCTGGAGCTTGGTGTTCCAGACCTGAGAGGATGGCTGCAAAAAAACTGCTACAATGTGAATTTCTTCTTTGATTGCACCAATTTTTGTATTCAGATTCATAACCACAGTGCCATTAGTACACCTTAAATATTGTCATCTCAGATATTTTTTGACCAACTTTTTTTGTACTTTTATACGTTTTTGTATTGACTAGTACTTTGTGGTTTCTAAAATAAACATTTTTACAATCAGTGTTCTAAGTTGTCTCAATGGGAGTGAGGGGTTTGGTAAGACTGTCCTTACAAAATTTGATCAGGAGTTGGCAGCAAAACATTTACAAAGTTAACTTTGGAAAACTTTTAAGCAGTTTCAATATTTATATTTTTGGTTTGAGTCAATTGAAGAAATTTAAGTAAGATGAGTAACAATCAAGGGTTTTTTACTGCTTGGAGATATTTAAAGAGGACTGAATGGTGGTTTTGAAGCAAGAGAACGGCACCCAGAGAGAGTCTAGCCTAGCGGCTAACGGTTGGCACCCAGAGAGAGCCTAGCCTAGCGGCTAGCGGTTGGCACCCAGAGAGAGCCTAGCCTAGCGGCTAACGGTTGGCACCCAGAGAGAGCCTAGCCTAGCGGCTAACGGTTGGCACCCAGAGAGAGTCTAGCCTAGCGGCTAACGGTTGGCACCCAGAGAGAGCCTAGCCTAGCGGCTAACCGTTGGCACCCAGAGAGAGCCTAAATAATCCCAGATATTTTGTCTTGCAAATAAATTTTGCTGGTCCAATCATAATGATAAAGACTTACATCATGAACTTTAATATTTTCTAAATTCAAACAAAAAAATAAAATTAACATCACACCAAGGGTAATGTGTAGTTCTGGTGTTTTATACTGTTGGCACAGACCTGCAGCTCATTGAGCTCTGGCGCCCTCTTCTGGTCAGCATCACGATCACAGGTCATAAACCATCAGTTCTTCTCAACGAGATTTTTGGTTCTGAACAATAAGAATACTATTGTTATGGTTGCAGGACTGATTTAGGAGAGTTTTAATGGAAATACATCCAGAGATGATGCTTCTGTTATTTTACATTTACCAATGCTAACATAAGCTGCATTCCTCTATAACTGCACAAATTGGAATTACAAAGATAAATTTGCTTCATAGAAACAAGGAATAAAAAACAAAACTCGCCCTAGTCATGTGATCCACAACCGCATGTTACTACTGAGGGAAAAGACCAAGACAAGAGGAAGTGTTAAGCGGAAGTTGGGATATCTTTGGAAAAATTGCAAAGATTTGCAAAAAATGATACATTTTTTAAATAAAATTAATACATGCAATTTTATTCTAACATTTTTTAGCAGAATCAAATTAATATTCTGCTAATTAGCAGAATATCAAAAACGTTTTGCACCCATTTGTAATAAAAACACATCTACAACCCAAAGATTGTGTCCTTCTAATACTTTGATATGTTTTGAATGAATAAACAGAAAAACCTCCAGATGATATAAAACTGTTTTTATAAATTCTTATGTACAGGTTGTCAGTGACGGAGACGAGGCGTTAGAAAGACACTGATTCACTGAAAAAGCACAAAATCTTACAAAGTATTTTTGTCTAGTTTCTTATGCAAATATTTCAATTGCAACAAACTATTAGTGCAACAATAAGAAAATAAAACCCACCATCACCCGTTAGAGCTGCTTTTGAACGTTGTGTCGATGATTTTAATGACACTTGACAAAATGTGATGTTACCGTTTCCTCAGTTGGTGACGGCATTGTGTTTACGTTTTTGTTTTCATGATCTTTGTTGCTGAAATATGCTACACAAATAAACATGATTGAACTTGATTTACATACAACTTTATACTAGTAATATGACTTCATTTCATGCTCTGTTTTTGACTTTTCAGCAAGATATAAGAGTTTGTTTTAAGTTAATAATTCCTTAATATTAATTTAAAAAGTACTATTTCCACTGGCGGACAATTTTACTTCCTATATGGGAAAAAATTTTTGTTTTAAGTGAAATTATGTGCCAGTAGAGATACAAATTTTTCATCTATGCTAAGGAATTAGACTCCGTTATCCTGCTGAAAGTTTCTGGGAAGTTAGTTTTGCCTTATTTCAAGCGCACTAAGATAATTGCAGTGAAAGCCAAACAGTAATACTTGGTAATATTTAGTGACGTTTGCAGTGTGAGCTCCTGTCAAAAGAGCCTCATTAGAATAGAGGAATGCTCTGTTTCAGCTGGTTTTTATCTAATTTACCTCCATCTTTCACATTATAATCTAAAATACTTGTTAATATTTTGCATTGTTATGTCAGTAAAGGTTCGGCGGCTGTTAGGAGTCGGTCAGGGTCATACTCCAGACGCAGATGGGACTGTGTCTGCAGTAAGGTCGTCCTCCCAGCAGCAGCAGCGTGTCAGGCAGGTTCTTTAAGATGTCTGCGTCTTCCTGGTCCAGCAGCAGCTCGTCGGCGCAGCTCCACTGCCTCCTGAAGGCTTTATTCTCAAACGTCAAGCTGTTCTCCGTCAGCGGGGGATCAGGCTTAGTGTCGCTCTGTGTGTCCACGTCTGAGGACATTTTGCTGAATGTCTTCATCTCTATGTCCGAGTGGGAGACGGGGAAGCACCTGTTTTTGAAATGTCTGGGTTTGGCATCCTGCGGCTGCAGTGCCGATCCGGAGCCGCCGTCGGGCTCGTAGCTGCGGCCGAGCCCGACGCAGCAGTGGTGAATCCGGTCCGGAGCGTCGGAGCCTGGGAGCGAGGCCACCTGGCTCCAGCTGTGGGAGGAGAAGCTGTACCTCCACAGAGTCCTGCTGGGAGAGCTCTGGCTTTCGCCGCCTCCGAACAGCAGCATGCTGTCCCTGTAGGTCGCGGCGGCGTGGCCCATCAGCCGAGGGGGGCCCGGCCTGCGGAGCACAGGAACAGGAGCCTCCGTTTAGCAATTACTACATTTGTAGACAGTTATTTTAATAATCTAGTCATTGTGATTAATCCTTTCAGCCCCACAATTTACACACAGCACTCAGACTAATTCGTATGAACAAAGAGAAGACTTTGTTCAGATTATACAGAGTGAGACTAGAGTATAATCCAACCTTTAGTTACTTCAAGGATTCAAGGATTTATCAAACATGCATTTCAAGATTACATGGGTTTAATTTAACTTTAATTTATTTGGTAGGAAAAATAAAATTTCTGTAAATGTGACAGAATTTGCCAAAAGGATATTTATTTTCATCTGTTGTCCCTGGAAAAATCTCAATTTGGTTAAAGGTTAAAATGACTTAACTATGCAACATGACTGGAGCCCAAAAGTACAAAATGTAGCTTCATGTAACATTTGGTTCTCAGTAAAATCTCCGAGTACTTTCATCCTTTCATCCAAAGTGTGCAGGAATCCGTCTGATATGATGGAAACCAGGCGGAAACCTCAGACTTTTCGTTAAAGCTGGATGTCAATCTGGCCTAAAAGCTTTACAAAATAAAAGCCTTGCTTCATATTTTAGCGACAGGAAACCTTGGCGCTCACTTGAGGCAGGTCCACGTGTGATTGGTGCTGTTCCACCTCCAGAAGTCCTTTTGCTCCCACAGACCCTTCAGGCCTCCAAACAGGAACATGCAGTTCTGGTAGGCCACGGCGGAGTGATTGTGTCTGGGCCCAGGAACGGACCGATCAGAACCGCTGAGGCCAGACCATGCCGTTGTATCTGTCCGAGAAAAACACAGAAAAACGCCTGATTTAACTCTCTTCAGAAATCATGGAAATGACTAAAAAGCTGATTATAAATCCTCATTTTTTTGTTTCTTTTTCTAGTTTGAACAAACTTACTGAGGTTTAAACTCCAAAAGTCCTGCAGGGATCCCTTTAAGTCCATGAAGCCTCCATAGACGAGCATGGCAGAGCCGAGCACCACGGCGCTGTGTCCTTTCCGGTTGGTCGGCCTTTGGCTCTGAAAACACAAAACATCAAGACGACGTTGAAAGATCAGTTATCAATCAAACTGTGCTGCTGATGACAAATGTTTTTATATTGTACTGGCATAATGCTATAAAACAGAAAAATAAATAAAAACCCTACCTTCAATTTGAGTATTCAGTGGGAAAAAACATGATGAATACTTTTTATGAAATCATAAGTTCTCTTCTGGATTTGGACTGGAAGAGAGTTGAATTTATTTTTGCATTTCTCTGCTTTACACCAGACCCACCTGGACTGTCTGTTGCTGAAAAGCTCAGCAACAAACCAAGACTCACTGGATCCGTTTTGGCATCCAACCTAACAAAAAATTGGACTTGGTAATCACGTTAAAACCAGTAGCGATTCCCTGAGACTGCGTCTCCTACTGACTAAAACAGAGCTGAAGTCTGTTTTGGAGCTGTGCAGAAATTTGACAGGAAGTGAAACACTGTGGTAAACTCAGGGTTTTTTATACCTGATAGTCTGAAACAAAATGGCATTACATTCTTTTTTTTTTTTTTTTTTTTTTTTTCCTGTTGTGGGCAACAGGGCCCGGCGAATACCCGTGGTTAAACGGACGGCGGAGTCCGGCGGTAACAGGCGCTTAAATTCCGTGTCAAAGGGAAGGGGGAAGAAAGGGAAAAAAGAGGGAAAAAAAAAAAAAACAAAAAAAAAAAAAAAAACCTTGGTATTTTATTCTATGTTGCATGCCTTTGTGTTTTGTGTTTATGATGTAAAGCACTTTGAAATGCCTTGTAGCTGAAATGTGCTATACAAATAAAATTTGATTGATTGATTGATTTGGTTCTCTTTCTCACTGCACTGAGTGAAGTGAACCAAACCCTATAAAAACCCAGTTCCCCTCCCCGCCTCTGGAGGCGCTGCACCAAGAACCACAGACGGAAACGACAGAAGACACTGAGCTTCACTAAATGTAAACAAAATGAAGTAGCGTCCGATTTTAGTGGCAGTAAGATTTCATTTGTCTTAGGTAGAAAATCACAAGCCATTTTTCCAGCTAGCGCTAAGCTAACGTGATTGTTTTGGTTGTATTTACCCAGAATCCACTGCGCTGCAGTCCTCTTGCTGCTTTATTTTCTGGTTGTCTGTTAAAGTTGCTTTTCTAAACTCTGACTGTAGATGAGGCCAGTTTTAGAGCAGCATGTTTTCTTGTTTTTCCTATTTTGAAAAGAAATGGGCGGGTCTGTGCCATGTGATATTTATCCAATAGGGAAACAGGAAACGTTTGTTTTGAGATGCCAGTAAATGTGGCAACATTTACTGGCATCTTGACTGGTAATTTGACTAAACATTTCTCACCGTGATTATTTCCCACCAGAAGAATGTAATCAAATGAAAATGTAGATTATTTAATTGAGGTAGTTTATGGCAATAAAGCTGATTTACCTGAGGGGAGCTGGTCTTCCCCTGGCAGGGAACCCACTTCTGATTTACTGAAACAAACAGAAAATAGAGCAAACCAATTTAAAAAAACCCTCACTAGAAAATATGTAGAAGAAATTCTAACGGTGTTCTCTAAGAGAAACCCATAAAGTTAAGTATGTTGCAGACTGTTTTCTATGAAACATACATGCATATATGCAGGATGCAGGTCCGGAAACATTCAACTTCCTGTTAAATCAATGCACTTTGTTACTAAGGTCTAGTCCACACAAAGCCAGATATCTGGGAAATGAATATATTTTTATGTTTTGACCTTTCATCCACATAAAACTGTTCAATGTCACTAAAAACGATTATTTATAAAAGCTCCAACCAAAGTGGTGAGCTGTGAAAACTCTGTATTGGGAATAAAAACAAATAATGTGCTAATGTAGCCACACATTTGCTTTGACGTGATTCCCAATCAATGCTGTTTTGCTAACTTTATTTTGTGATATTCTATTTAAAAACAGTTCAGGGTGTTTTATAGTTTGAGCCCGGCCTAAATCTCTCCTCCAATTCTAGTTAGAAACAGCATGTATTGAAGCAGGTAAATAAAAGCTAAAAATATCAGGGGTTGAATGTTTTTCAGCATGCACAGGAAACCAGAGTCTTTGCTAGCAGCTTGAAGATCAGCAGAGGGTAAAATCATCATCCTGAGTGAAACTCACCGACATCAAACACCCACAGGGGGCATCGCCGGCCAGTGTATGCAGAATCCCACATGCCTCCAAACACATACAGGAAACCCTGAAGAGCCCCAGAAACCAGTTAACAAGTTACATTTGCTTCATGTTGGCACTGTTTACAGGAAATGGATAAAAAGTGTTTGAAGTTTGGACCTTATGAGCCACCATAGAGTGCTGCTCCAGTTCCTCTGGTGCAGCTTCGCCCGAGCAGCTCAGCCTGGTCCATTTATTCAACACTGAAACAAAATAAACAGAACAAAACCATTTATTTTGTTTGCTCGGTTTTTCTTTAATATCTTTTTAATTTTTTATTTTATTATGCTTTGTTCTGGCAAATACTTTTAGTTGTTCATTTCTTTTATTTCTCTCTCACTTCTACTAAAAATATCTTTGACGCTAGGTTAATAAAGAATACTAGAAAAAGAAAATAATCATGCAAATCAGAAAATAACTGCAAAGACTAAAGGAAAAACAAATTATGCCGAAACCCAACTGTTAAGCAATTTAACAGTTTTTAATTTGACACCATTTGATAATGTTGTGTCTTTCGTCTTTGACTGGACTGTATCCATGTTAATACATACGTCCTTTTTGTTTGTTTATTTTCGTTGCTGTTATTTGTTCTCTTATCTGATTATTTATTTTGTAGACTGATATCTCTTTTTGTTCATCTCTAATGTTTTGTTGGTTTTATTTGCAGTAACCGGTGAAGAAAAAAGGCATTTTTCTACTGTAATGTTAGGATTTTTTTAGCTGCATTTTGTGCAACAAATGATCAACCATACACTAACCATATGCTACTCTGATGCATTTTAGGAAATATTTATTTTCTTATTCAAAAAAAGAAATGAATTACTTGTTTATTGTATATTTTGAGGTATTTTGAGTACAATATAAAATAAGCTTAAACGTTTGAATGAAAAATCTGCAGAATGTTCCAGTTTTTTTATCTGATTAATCAATTAATTGTCAGAATACTTGTTAGTTGCAGCTTTAGACATAATCCATGTGTCAGCATTTCTCACCCAAAAGAGTCATAAATGTCTTTTGAACTTGGTTCTAAAGAAAACTCGTTTTTTAACCACAAGTGAAAGTATAATGATGAGATGCATATTTTTTTAAAGTTTGAATATCTGACAGAAACTATTACTCATCAGTAACCAGGTGAATTCCTGATGCTGTGGTTCTGTTGTACATGAAGGGCCCTTACCAACGCAGTACTTCCAGAAGTCTCCCAGGCAGCTGCTGCTTCTTCCCCCCAGGACGTAGACCTCCCCATCGTAGCTGCAGCAGGCGTGCTTGTAGCGGTCACATGGACTCGGGCTGCTCTGAGGGAGCGGTGTCCACAGGCAGGGGTTACCTGGCATCTTCAGCCCATCTGGGTCGGCATCTACAAAAAACAAAAACAAACAATCCACACTGATTCTAGAAACGTGATAACAGCAGTATCACACAGGAGTGTGGCTGAAATCAAACTACCAAACAACTTCTTGTTAAGCCCCGATGGGATGATGACGCACCCAACGCATGGCGTTATGGAGTGGTTGCCATGTTTGCAGTTTGTTCAGTCATTCACCTGAGATGTTTGGACCCAGAGCCGGACACCAGGGAAAACCAAGTCCCTCCTCTACACGTCTATCTAATCTAAACAATTAATCGTGATCAATTGGTTATTTTCTTATTTGGAAAAGGAAGTGAATATTTTGTTTATTTGCATCTTTTAAAGTATTTTTAAGAGTAATTGTTAGAATAATCAACTACTATAATAATTGTTAATCATCATTGATAACGATGAGCTGAAACGATTAATCGTGATTAATCGGTTATTGAAATAATCGTCATTTAATTTAGTAATCGATTCATACAGATGCAAAAAAAAAAAAAATGCAATTTTCTTAAACAACACTCCGAATAGTAGGTAAGCCAAAATTGTAACAAATATATACATTTAGCATTTAAGATAAAATGCAAAAGAAATATCTGTATGTTAAACTCCTCAAGTGAGTTTTAGCTTCAGCTTACTCAAATTCTGATGATTTACATGCATTTCTTAGTAATAAAAAATTACTCAGTACATGAGCTTTGTGCACATTGTAATCTAGGGAGGATGCAAAACCTAAAACCAAAGATGTAATGTAAAAAAAACAAAACAAAGAACAAGAACCTCCAGGTGAAAATGACCCACAAACACAGCTGAATGAAGAGAAGCTGCATTGGTTTTTTTTGTGCATTTTTCTACATGGGTTGAATTTTTTTTTTTCCCGGTGGTTAATTGGCGGCTGATGCGCTCCAACACCTGAGCCATTCAGTCGATCAATAATTTAACACCGTAGAATAAGATCCGGGTGGCGTGAAACCCCGATCACATTCTGTGCGTCATTATTTATGATGCACAGCATCATAAAATAATGACAATGGCAACAAGAAATTTATTGTCACAGATGTTTTCATATGGAGCAATTTGGTTTATTATCTGTACTTCAGCATTATTCGGATAAAATATGACAGTTCTGTTTTGCTTTTTGTAAGTTTCTGCCAATATTTTACTCATAAAAAATGTTTTTGACTTGACTTCAACTTGTGCGGCTGGCGCTTTCTGTTTACTTGGATCACTCAACAGATCTGTTTTTGGTTCTCTAAAATTTCAGCAACGTTATTAAATTGTGAGTTTTCTTCTGTTGATTTAATCTTTGTCACACTTTTGTAAGGAAATGCAGATTTTTTTCTTGTTAACACTATCTTTTTTCACAGTTGGTTCCATTATATCATAAATACACTGTTTGCATTCAGAATATATCCAAAGTCATTTGGCAATGGATAATTTTTTTTTGTTTGTTTCTAATTTTGGTTTGTCATGTTTCTGGCTAAACAACTGATGAATTTGTAAACATTTGACGCTGTCACTTTCACAGTAAATACTACAAAACATTGTCTTAACATTTGTATCAGTGATAACCGATTTACAAAATCGGTTTGCAAAATCAGTTATCAGAGATCGGCGCATTTATATTTTAATTTCCATTAAGTTTGTGTAGTTTTGCAGCCTTTGCAGGTAGAAAATGTTGCTGAATGCACCTTTAAAATAATTTTTAATTGCTTTGAAATGAAAGCAGATCAGATTTTATTTATATTTGCTATAGTAAACACAGATAAGAATGACGAGTAACTCCTATTTTAATGCGTTTCGTCACATTTTGAAGATAACGTCGTTAATTCCAGTTAAAACGTGTTAAAGCGAACAAACAGCAAACTTGATGAGCCTACCGTAACTATTGTAAAAAACAACAACACGGTTTTGTTACACAGCGGTCCTCTATGCCGCCCTAAGGAGGCAGGACAATCAGTTTAGTTGGAAAACTGTTTGCTAATTCACACAAACACAATCCAACGCTCGTTTTTATCCGTCTGAACTCACATAAGTCTCCCAAGTTTAATAAAAATGTTCATTCCTGTCTTTTTAACGAACTCCACACAGAAGGAAATGAGAGCTGGGGGGGAACTCCCTGCGACCGTTAATCTGTTTTTACCTTAATAAACCTTTTTCAACATCGTGTTTTCTCACAAAACCTTTTCACACGTCACATTAAAAGATGGTCGTTGGTACACGCATAAAGAACACATATATTTCACTCTTACGGTAACTTTCCAGGACGTCTCCGTCTTCTTCTCGTTTTCGACTCTCAGATCTGAATCTGAACGTGAACGCGTGATGCTTTCAATGACCCCTCGGAAAGTTTCTCTCTCCAACCAAACGTTAGAAAATAAATATAGCGACAAAAACTTTTGTGGTTGGATACGTCGAAGTGGAATCATTCCCACGAAGGTTTTGTGCGCTATCAGCCGCATTCAACTAGTTTACTATCAAGCACTCAATAAACACATACGTTAATTTGATAGACTGGTTCTGCTTTGTTTATCTTCCAACAGACTCAAACACTTTTAAGTAGCCCTATAACAATGTTATAAAACGTTAGGTAACTTGCTGATGGCACGCAACTTTAAAAAAGGCATCAGTGTCAGCGTTTAAGAGAAAATTCCGAGTTTTACAATAGCAGTGAAGGCAGCTTCAGCTGGAGGGGCGTTCATGGAACAGAACGTGGCATGTTCAAACAGGCTTTCATTTTAACGCACATCTCTGCTAAACTGCTGTGGTTGACGCGTATTTGTACATGAGGACGTATTATAACCATAAGTGCGTGGACTTCGAGCAGGGCCGTGCAGAGACTACTAAAGGGGCAGGTGCTCAAAAAAAAAGGGCACATCAAATCACATTTCAGGACAGAATATTAACAGAGTCACACAGCTCTCAGAGTTTAATTAACAATGATAGATTACAAAATTGTGAGACATACAATCAAAGAACATCTGCTTGGGTTGCTGTACTTGCAGTGGAGATGAAGACGGTCCATTCAGAAAAACAGAGCTGCATCAAACTTTAATGTGGAACAGCAGAAAAAAAAACAAAAGCAAAAATGTAATTAATGCATGTCACTATGAGAAAAGACTACTCTAATTGTGTTTTAGTGTATTTTGTAAGTACCTATGTACATTTTCTTCAATCTTTCCTCTTCTTTTTTTCTTGTCAGTTTCTCTTTTCTTTTTTCCTCATTGTCTCATCTTCTCTGTGTTGAGTGAAGTCTTATTTATTTCAGTCTCTTGCCTTTTAACTGTTTAAAAACAAATTTCAAACTTTTAAGCATTTTTTGCTATTTTTGTTCTCTTTTGTTCATAGCAACAGTTTTCTGTTGGTCATGTCTTGAAGAATGTTAATAACCTCACTGTGAATGATTGGTACAGTTGACCCAGTTGGTCAACAATCCACTACCTTTCGCTGCTTCCAGCAGATCCTTTCTTTTTTGCTTCTGACGTCTCTCTTTACGTGGCGTCTTTGAACTGAAAAAGCAAAACAAAGAATTATGATCAGAACACTATAATAAACCACACTACCAATTCTTTACCCTTGTGTTTAAACCAATGTGTTTTTCAGTCCATAGCATAATATTAATTTCAGAGAAAATGAGACCTCTCCTATGGAGTTCAATTTGTTTAACAATTATTCAATTAAAATAGTAACCTCAATTAAATAATATAAAATTGTGATCAAGACATTTTGAATTGTAACATTTTTTTCAACAAAAAAATGTTAAACTTATTTTTTTTTTAAAACTGAAATCACAATTTTTTATCTCATGACTTAAAAAATTATTTGCAAAACAAACAAACTTATTTGTGCATGTCAGAAATCTTTGCTTGCTATTCAAAGTTTTGCTTGCGATTCTCACATTACGCCTGTGGAGAGCCTAAAATCAAAACCAAAGATTTCTGATGTGTGCAAATAAAAGTTTATGTTTGCCCCTTCATTAATGAGAGGCTTTTATTGGACAGAAGCAGTTTGATTATTACATACATTATATCTATCATGGTAGTTCAGGATGAGTTATTTTTAATTCTAAATGAATATCCTTGTTGGACTTTTATTTAAATTCTCCTTCAAGATACATTTACCTAACACTAGAATAAATGCAATATACATCATTCACCAAAGAAAATTAGAAAATCGGACATATATCCATTATGGAGATGATGGTTTTGTTCGGACGATGTGCCCCTATTGCATAAATAATACCGAAGAATGACTGCTGTCATTAACAATACAGGGAAGCTATTTAGTTACCTTGCTTTGCTAGCAAAGTCATTAGCTAGCAGCTAGCTCATAGCACAACAACAGCCTAATGTCTGATGATAAAAATACTGGATCGATAGATAAGAACAGCTTTTCCTCACCTGGCTGCCTCCTCCCGCTCAGTTTATTCAGAGAAAGGCGGACTTAGAGACGTATATTCTCTAAGACGCCTGTCTTGTTATATTTCATTTCTGCTTAAACCGCGACTCCGTGCTGAAGGAGAAACGATACAACATTTAACGTTTTCCGTTATCTGACAAGTAGCAAGCCAACTCCAGTGTTTTCACCAAAAATAATTTTTTTCAGTTCACCAAAAGCTGTTTTGTAATCTGGAACGTCGCTAGCTTGAGCTCCGCAGTTAGCCGCCTCATCTCACCGCGCGAGAGGCAAGTGCGTCGTGCGTCACGGGCAAAAGGTCAAAGGTAATAATGTGACCGGAGGGCTTATTGTGTTGTTTTTCTTGCAAAGTAATAATAATAATAATAATAATAATAATAATAATAATAATAATAATAATAATAATAATAATAATAATAATAATAATAATAGTAATAACAGTAATATAGTAATAATTGTAGTACATGTGTAAGAAAAAAAAAAAAAAAAAAAAAAAAAACAACCAAAAGGGCACTTGGGGCCATGGAGCAAAGCCCCCAGAGCACCCCCCTCTGCACGCGCCTGACTTCGAGCCCCATTAACATTTTAGGAGTGTTTATTTTACAACTACAAAGAATGATCACAAAGAAGCCATGCGATTTGCTCTGAAAATGTTTTACTTTTAATGTTCTGTTGGGACACAATTAAAATTCTGGATATGTCCATTTGGGAAAAGCCTAATTAACCCAATGCGGATGTTTTGTTCCAGTTTTCTCCAGTTTTTTTCACTGATTCCTATTTTTATTTATGTCTGGAACAGGTGTGTATCCAAAGTGTGGTCTCTGGGCCATTTGTGGCCCCCAATCTCAGCTAGTAAAAAAAATAAATAAATAAAAAAATAAATTCTGGATACGTCCATTTGGGAAAAGCCTCATTAACCCAATGTGGATGTTTTGTTCCAGTTTCTGGAACTATATATATATATATATATATATATATATATATATATATATATATATATATATATATATATATATATAAAATTCCCTTCTCACCCACCGCGGGTGGTTCTTATCCTCTGAGCTCGGGTCCTCTACCAGAGGCCTGGGAGCTTGAGGGTTCTGCGCAGTATCTTGGCTGTGCCAAGGACTGCACATTTCTGGACTGAGATGTCTGATGTTGTTCAGACTTAGAGAGAGACTTAGACTTGACTTTATTGATCCCTTGGGAAGACTCCCTCAGGAAATTATAGTTACCAGCAGCTCACAGGCAAAAATGTGGCACACAGTAAGCATACACAAAAGAATACAAAAAAATACAAATTAAATACAAAACAAAGAATAAATACAACACAAAAGGAAATTATAGCAATTTGGTGGATAGATTGACCAGTGATATGGTATTGCACTGTATGGTTTGGCCTGATAAATATGGAGTTCACATTTGTAGAAAAACTACTCCTTCTTCCCTCTGTCCTGTGTCACCTCCGACCCCCCAGTGAGGAGTTGTACAGTCTGAAGGCGTGGGGACAAAGGAGTTCTTGAATCTATTGGTCCGGCACTTGGGAAGCAGCAGTCTGTCACTGAACCGGCTCCTCTGGCTGCTGATGACGGCGTGTAGAGGGTGGCTGCTATCGTCCATGATGTCCAGCAGTTTGTTCAGTGTCCTCGCCTCTGCCACCGTCACCAGAGAGTCCAGCTTCATGCCGACCACAGAGCCGGCACGCCTGATCAGTTTGTCCAGTCTGGACGTGTCCTTCTTGGATGTGCTGCCTCCCCAGCACACCACGGTGTAGAAGAGGACACTGGCGATCACTGACTGGTAGAACATCCACAGCAGTTTGCTGCAGATGTTAAAGGACCGCAGTCTCCTCAGGAAGTACATCCTGCTCTGCACCTTCCCGTACAGGTGGCTGGTGTGTTTTGACCAATCCAGTTTACTGTCCAGCCACAGCCCAAGGTATTTGTAGGAGCCCACGACCTCAACCTCCGTTCCCTCTAGTACGACTGGTCTCGGCTTTGGTCTGGACCTCCCAAAGTCTATAACCAGCTCCTTCGTCTTAGAGGTGTTGAGTTCCAGGTGGTTTGTGTGGCACCAGAGAGCAAAGTCCCTCACCAGACAGCGATATTCCTCCTCTCCGTCGTCCCTGATACATCCGACTATGGCTGTGTCATCTGCATACTTCTGTATGTGACACAGCTCCGAGTTGTAGTGGAAGTCAGAGGAGTACAGGGTGAAGAGAAGAGGGGCCAGCACTGTGCCCTGAGGGGCTCCTGTGCTGCTGACCACAGTGTCAGACACGGTGTCCTTTAGCCTGACATACTGCGGCCTGTTGGTGAGGTAACTATGGATCCAGGTGACCAGGTGCTGGTCCACTCCCATGCTATTTAGTTTGTCCTGGAGCAGAAGGGGCTGGATTGTATTAAAGGCACTGGAGAAGTCCAAGAAAAGGATCCTCACTGTGCCACTGCCCTTATCCAGGTGGGAGTGGGCCCGGGTGCAGCAGGTAGAGGATGGCATCCTCCACACCAACATGTGCCTGGTAGGCGAATTGCAGGAGGTCCTGAGCATGTTCCACCTGAGGTCTGAGGAGGCCGAGGAAGAGCCGCTCCAACGTCTTCATCAGGTGTGAAGTGAGTGCCACGGGCCGAAAGTCATTCAGTTCGCTGGGCCTGTTCTTCTTGGGCACTGGGACGATGCAGGATGTCTTCCAGAGGGTGGGCACTTCCCTTAGCTGCAGGCTGAGGTTGAAGATCCGCTGTAGTGGCTCTCCCAGTTCAGCAGCGCAGGTCTTCAGCAGCCTTGGACACACCTGGTCCGGCCCTGCTGCTTTCCTGGGCTTGAGCTTCCTCAGCTGTTCTCTGACCTGGTCTGTGGTGATGTGGGGTCGAGGTTGTGCTGAGGTGTGTGGGGGGGTTGTCAGTGTTTTGTTGTCTGTGGGGAGGTGT